ACCGAGTCGGCGCCATGGCTTAGAACGACGGTCGATGATACAAAAGCCTGCAGTACCTTAAGGGATTTAGGGTTTAGGGATTAGGGTTAAGGGATTCGGGTTTAGGGATTAGGGTTGGGTTTAGCGATTAGGGTTTAGGGGTTAGGGCTTAGAACTATTGAAAGAAGGAGGCTGGTGTAATGTAGGGTCCTAAATAGTCACCAATACTATTTTGGGAGTTCCTTATTTGTATAGTTATAGTATAATACACCCCCAAAAAAACCCGATTCTATTTATTAAGACCCCTATATTAGTGCTTAGAGCTTAGGCTTGTAGGTTTTAGAGTGTAGGCCCGTTTGGGGTTTAGAATTTTAGCGTTTGATGAGGTTTTTGTGCTATCAGGGCCTAGGGGCTTTTGGGTGGGCAAGACCGAGTCCGAGCTACGGCCTTGCATTTTGAAGAAAGGAGGCTGGGTTTGGGGCTTCAGGGTTTTAGGGTTTATGGTTGTGTTGTTCAGAGAAGAAGGCTGGTTTTTGGGGTTTAGGGTTTTGGGGTTTGGGGTCTAAGGCTTTAGGGCTTTGGGTTTTGGGCTTTTGGGTGTGGGATGTTATGGGTTCGGAGGTTCAGGTTGTGGAAGGGATCCTGGTTTATGGAGCTGTGACTCCGGAGGCGACCAAACAGCAACTCGAAAGGAGTAGAGGAAATTCCGTTGTTGGTTTAGGGTTTGGGTCTTGATGTGGTTTCATGTGCATTCAGAGCCATCGAGCTCGATTGTTACTGGGGTTGATTTGGGGATGTGGGTTTCGAGCTCAAGGGCTCGAAGGGTGTTGTTACCCTAAGGCCGCCAGCACCTGGTGACTAGTGATCACATACTCCCGAACGCTAGCATACATGACGACGGTACTGAGTAACTACTACCCTAAACCCAAGTGCGCTACTTGCCCTTCTAATAGATACTTCGGGATCGTGTCCGCAGGTCGAACGTAACATTCTATTTTCAATAAATGTTTACATTAAGAGACATCGGCAGGATCAGAAGGCTGTGTTCTTCAAGTTGACAAAAGGAGACGCTGATCTGTCACTATGCTCGGAAGTATAGTTTACCACCGACACTTAACCCCACCATCTCGCCACCCCTATGTCCATGCAAAGCCTTTATCAATAGGGCACAGGCATTCGATGCTTCACTGCCTGCTAGGCAGTACACGGTTTACCAGTCTGCATTCCGAAGATTAAGCCAACCACGGCATACGGTACCTGTAGCCCGGCCGACACGTGCTGAACACAATCGGGAGTCTGCAGGAACAGTGCGAAGGAGACAACCCTAAACCCTAAACCCTATATTAAACCTCTAAAGCCTAGGTACTCTTTGTTGTGATTACGGCAGCTCCCACACCAGACAGCGTGAGGCCCAATGCTAGAGCCTACACATCCTCATCCCAAACAGCACACCAGCGCACTGCCTCCTGAACCCCAAACCCTAAACTCTACCCTAAGCCCTAAACCCTAAACCCCAAGCCCTAAACCCTAAGCCCCAAAGCCCAAACCCTAAACTCTAAGCTGAAACCATCACCCAGGTCAAGGACTTGGGCAAGGGCATGGCAATGTCTCCCACCGAAAGAATGTTGGGGCTAATTTAGGGTTTAGGGTTTAGGGGTTCAGGGTTTAGGGTTCAGGGTTTGGGGTTTAGGGGTTTATTATGTAGGGGCTAAGCCCTAAACCCTAAACCCATTAAGGCCCCATAGTAGTTCCTTTTTGGGATTACCCTATAGGATTCTAGATATGTAGCCCAAAAAGGAACTACTGTAGGGCCTATAGGTACAACCCTAAATCTAAACCCATTAAGGCCCCTATATTCATGCTGCTTCAGGTTTGGGACTAGATTCGGCGTGGAGGCTGCAAGGCTTAGGGATGTCTAGGGCAGTTTAGGGCTTGCCTGGACCTCTAGAAAACCTAAAGGTTTCTGCGTCCTTATCATGGGTTCATAAACATACATACACACACATGTTTATATGTATGTACTTACTTCTGCTCATGATTTGTTTATCCACTTATATGCCCCAAAATCATGCTGAAATTTGTGCTGCCCTATATTGACCCTACTTCCGCAGTGTGCCCGGTCCTCCCTAAACCCTAAACTCTAAGCTGGGAGTCTGTCTCAGCTCAACAGTCGCGAGAGCAGTGTTGAGGCTACTTCGACTAGCTACCCCAAGGCTCCACGTACGTATAGGGGGTTTTGGGTTTAGGGGGTTTTGGGCTAGGGTTCAGGGTTTAGGGTTACTCATAGGGTTTAGGGTTTCATATATTATATACATTGGCCCCAGAGTTGCTACATATAATTATGGGAATCCTGATAATGCCTAAGTATATATTAATAGCGGTACCTGGACCCTTTCGGTTCCCTAAACCTTAAAACCCTAAACCCTAAACTTTAAACCCTAAGCCCTAAGCCCTAAAACCCTAAACTTGAAACCCTAAACCCTAAAACCCTAAACCCTAAACCCTAAACCCTGTGTGCGTG